TACTTGTAAGAAATTTAGATATAGGAAATATAAAATACATATAATACTCATTGATTTCATTGTTTTCCATTTTGATCCTTACTCCTTTTTTCTACTTATTTTTGAGTTTAATTTACTTTTTTCTAACTTTTTAAGGTGGAAGCACCTAAAGTCATTAATTTGAGATCTTTCTTATGCAACACAAATAAGCATTGTGTGTGCTTGTATTATGTGCGTATATATCCACTATCTGTAAATGCATATATGAAGTTTCCACAATATGTAAATGCATATATGAAGTCTCTCATATATGGGATATAATGTATTATGTGTAATATATATTAAACATATTATGAAGATTAACTTGTGTTGAATAAGAAGAAAGGTCTAAATCAATGGTCTCAGCTACTTGCACTTTGAGAATGTAGAAATGAAGACAAATCCATATAGTAGTAGAAGAAAAGAAATAACAAAAAACAAAATGGAGAACAATATAATCTGTGAAAACAGAAAAACAATTGAGAAGATCAGTGAAATCAAAAGCTGTTTCATTAAGATTGATAAAATGGATAAACTTCTAGGTGGAACAGGTTATCAATATCAAAAATAAGAATGATGTATCACTGAAATTCTATAGATATTATGAAGGAAGTGAAGGAATACTATACCTGTAAGTTATCAATTTGACGATTTTGATGAACAGTTTACTCCAAATAAACAGCTACTACTGCTTACTCCAAAACAAATAGATAACCTTTCCACAAAGGTCCCCAGATGCTTCAGTAGTGAATTCCAGCAAACAATTAATAGTACCAATTCTATACAGACTTCTCCAGAAAATTCAAGAAGAGGGAGTACTTCCTAAATCATTCTTTGAGTCCAGCATTGCCCTAATAACAAAACCAGACAGAGACATTGCAAGGAAAGAAAGCTGTAGACCTGTGTCCTTCATGAACATAAATTCAAAAACTCTAGGGATTGGAAACCAGTAGTATATAACAAGGTTATTAATACCTCATGACCAAATGTGGTTAATCCCTGGCAGGCTTTTTCATCATTTGAAAAGCAGTCAGTGTAATTCCCTGTGTCTAAGCCAACTTCATGGTTAGGTAACCTGTGCAGTCACATGTTGCTGCACTCTTGTAAGAAGGGATCCTGTGCTTCGCTTAATGCCCTGCTGTTGCCATCCTGAAGTTCTTCACAGTTTTATTTTTGAACTTGTGATTTGTATGTGAAGTTTGATGGACACTGGACTATGTGTGCAAGTAGACAGGATACTTGAGAGGCAGTGCCCTACTAAGCTGTTGGTCTGTGTAGTATGGCCTGGGAGTGTCCTGGAATTGTGTGTAGGTGGCTAAGGCAATGACCTTTGTCTGCATTGGTTGCAGCAGCAGCAAACTCACAAACAGTTGCACCCCAAAGAGGAGGACCCACAGTGTGAGGCTGGCTTGCTTGTCTCTCCCCTAAGTCTGTCCCTCTGACATTCTTAGGAAATACTAATTTTCTGGGCTGAGTACTGGGACAGTAACCTCCAGCTTTCAGGCAGTCATCATTGTCAGTAAAGTATTAGAAAATAAAAGCATACTTGTGGACATTGTGTTAAGGGACACTAGGCAGTTACTAGAATTCTTTGGAGTGCAGATTCTCTGGTCTTAAGAACTGCTGCAACATTGCAAAGCAAATATCCACAGGCTTAGAAATAGGAATTTCATTTGATGGGAGAGAACATTATTTTCGTATAAAATTTTGGTTGAAACAAATCAGTTTTAAAAATAGGCTTTTTTTGCATTTGAAAATACAGCAATACACTGCATAAACAGGTGTTTCCAATTATATGCAAATCATGAAGCCATTTTTGGTTTCTTATACAAGATGTCAGAGGAAACATTAAAATGCCATTGTATAAATTTACATGTAAAATTGAATTCAGTTTTGTACAAAACTAATATTCATGAAGAATTTCAGAGAGCTGCTATTCCAGTCTTTGTCTATATTTACCAAAACTTGTATTTTTTTAACTTTTATTGTACAATAATGTATCAGAAATCAGAAATTTAGCCCATATTGCCACAACGTATAAAGAACCAACAGGTCCCTAATGATTGCATCAGCTGAAAAAATCAACCTTCTCAAATAAAAAATAGCAAAAATTACTTATCTTGCATTTGCCAAGAATATATATTACTTTCAATTACATATTGAAAATGAAGTTGCTAAAAATATAAATTTTGATGACTTAATAAATGAATTTGCAAAAAGAGTGCCAGAAAATCTTATGATCAGTCAAGATATATTAACAAACTATTAGTAATTATTGTATTATTTAAAGTTATTACAACAAAACTTTTTTGTGATTGTAAATTTATGTTGTTTTGTATTACTATTATACCTATATTTTACAAGTAATAAAATATATTAAAAGAAAAAAACATAATTTATTTTACTTTTTACTATACTTCTTTTTATACATTCTGAGTAACCTCACATTTTTATTTTCCACTGGCCCCATCAATTATGTAGTCATCTCTGCCCTGTATTAAAAAGAAAAATATAGGAAAAAAGTCAAACCCATATGACCATTTCAATATAAGCAGAGAAAACATTTGACAAAATTTAGCATCCATTTCTAATTAAAGCTCTCAAATGAAGAATAGAAGATAACTTTCTTTAATCTGATAAAAGTCATCTGTAGAAAATGTACAATTGACATTGTATATAATTGTGAAAAACGGTATGGTTTCAATATCAGGAACATGACAAGGATGTCCACTCATACTTGATAGTGTAATATATACTACCTAGTATAACCAGGGAAGAAAAAGAAAGGAGATTAGAGTGGAAAAGAAGTAGAAATGTCTTTATTCACAAAAGATATGATTATCTGTGTAGGAAATCTAATGGAGTCTCCCAAGATATGGGAAAAAGATGACTAGAATTATTAAGTGTAGCTAGGTGGCAGGAGAAAAATATGTAAAAATGAATTTTACTTATATATATTAGCAATGATCAATTGGAAATTGAAACTTTTGAAAGTTCTATTTGCAATAGTATCAAAATTTTTTTTTAAATAGCTATGTCTGGCAAAAGATGTGAAAGGCCACACTGGAAACAATCCACTGCAGAGAGAAATTGAAGACCTAAACAAGTGGAACTCCCTGCTTATGTCAGAAAGCTCAATATTGCTGACATGTTTTGTTGTTAAAATGATTTATAGATTTAATATAATTCCATGTAGTAATTAGCAGGATTTCTTGTAGTAATTGAGTACATAATTCTAAACCTTATGTGGAAATACACGGGAACCAGAATAACTAAAACTTCGAAAAATAAAAGCTGAGTTGTATGGATAGTATTACCTGATTTCAAGACTCAAAGTAAAAGTTTGCTGAGACCTGGCATTTTTGTCCAGAGTACTTTTTCTTCAATTTCAACATCTAGTAGTTTTATTAAGATATGTTTTAGAGAAAACTGTTGCTGAACAGTTTTCCCAGGTTCATGATGGTTCCTTTGAATATGTGGATCAGGTCTTTTATTTTTGAACAGTTTTCTTAGATTATACTTTTTAATATTAGATTTATTCCATTGTTTTCTTTTTTCTTCTTTAAGGACTGTAATATATATACTATATTATAATTTTATTTATTTAATTGTAGACCAACTTTATCCAGAACTTACTTTCTGATCCCATTTTCTTTTTTCTTACTCTTTTAAAATTATTGCTGCTTCTCTTTTTTCTTGTTTCATTCTCCTTTACAATGCTGTTTATTCAAGTTTCAGTCAAATGTAGTTTCCCCTTTGGCCCTGTTTTAGTTTACTCAGGCTGCTGTAACAAAATGCAACAGACTGGGTAGCTTAAATAAATTTTCTCACAGTTGTGGAGGCTGGAAGTCTAAAGTCAAGGTGCCAGCAGAGTTGGTTTCTGGTGAGGTCTCACTCCTTGGCTTGCAAATGGCATTTTCTTCTGGTGTCCTCACACAGCCTTTTCTCTGTGCATATGACCAGTGGTTGGGAGTGGTGAGTGGGGGGAGAAAGAGAGCTCGTGTGCGTGCTTTCCAGTTTCCCCCTCTTCTTATAAGGACACCAATGCCGTTGTATTAGTTTCTTACCCTTATGCCCTCATTTAACCTTAGTTAATCTCCTTAAAGTCCCCATCTTCAAATATAGTCACACTGGAGGTTGGGGTTTTAACATACACATTTTTTGAGGGGCACAGTTTAGTCCATCACAGATTCCTTAATTAGGAATGTCTTTAATAAGTCTTTAATAAGACTTGAATTACAGTCTTATTTTCTGTGATTACTCTGTCCTCTTTACAACTTCATTCCTGAGTTTGATTAGCCTTTGCCTCTTTAGTTTGCATACAATCCAAGTCTCTTCTCTTGGATTTCCCAGTAGCCTGAGCTTTAATCTGCGTGAACTCAGATATCTTCTGAGTATTTTCCCACTCATAGTGAAACTTTCCCTTTCTGGGAGTAGTTTTGTGTTTCACCCTCTTTGGGCTGTCTGTCTCTATTCCATGTGATCACCACAGTCTCTGGCTGATTCTCTTTGTAGGCATAGACTGTCACTTTTTGCTATATTTGAATATCTGTTGCTTAGTGATATTTGAAATTAGTAATATTTTCCATCTCCTAGTTATGCTAAAGTCATGGGTTGTTATAGATAATATTATTTGCTCCACTTATGCTGATGTTTATAGTTCTTGGGGGGATGCATGGAGAAATGCAGATGTAACTAGTTGCTATTCTTCTTCTTACGTTAGAAACCAAATGTGTACATTCAAGTAGTTAAATTCCCCTCTGTTTTTCCACTAGCCTAGGCCTTTTGTTTCTGGTTTTTGTTTTTGTTTTTTTCACCCCAAACCCATGACATACAAAAAATATGCACTTGCAGTTACGTTCATCTCTGGAAATTGGCCAAAAAACCAGGTCAGCTACAACATAGGGCATTTGTATAAAGATTTCATTCCCTAAGAAATGTTTCAGTATTTATATGGTAAGATTAATTTTGCTTGTTTCTAGAAGTCTGGACAGCTGATCACCTGAAAGAGAGGAGCCAAGAAAACCTATCTAAACATTTGTGGGAAATTGTATTCATCAATGATGAAATGCTGACTAAGGAACAAGGTAATGTAATAGGAATACCATTTAACGTGGACGTAAGTTCTTTTCCTTCCAGAAAAATGTTCTGTCAGTGTGACTCGTGTGGAATGAGTTTCAACACTGTTTCACAATTGGTTATCAGTAAGATGAACTATTTAGGAAAAAAGTCTGATGAATTTAATGCCTTTGGGAAGTTGGTACTCAATATTAAGCATGATGAAACTTATACTCGAGAGAAAAATGAAGTTTTGAAAAATAGGAACACTCTGAGTCATCATGAGAACACTTTGCAGCATGAGAAGATTCAAACTTTAGAGCACAATTTTGAATACAGTGTATGTCGGGAAGCCCTCCTTGAAAAGGCAGTATTCAATACACGGAAGAGAGAGAATGCAGAAGAGAATAACTGTGAATATAATGAATTTGGGAGAACTTTCTGTGATGGTTCATCCCTCTTGTTCCATCAGATACCTCCATCAAAGGACAATCACTATGAATTTAGTGATTGTAAGAAGTTCTTATGTGTGAAGTCCACCCTTTCTAAACATCACGGGGTACCTATGAAACACTATGATTGTGGTGAAAGTGGGAATAATTTCAGGAGGAAATTGTGTCTGTCACAGCTTCAGAAAGGTGATAAAGGAGAGAAACACTTTGAGTGTAATGAATGTGGGAAAGCTTTCTGGGAGAAGTCACATCTCACTCGACATCAGAGGGTGCACACAGGAGAGAAACGCTTTCAATGTAATGAATGTGGAAAAATGTTCTGGGAGAAGTCAAATCTCACTAAACATCAGAGATCACACACAGGGGAGAAACCTTTTGAATGCAATGAATGTGGGAAAGCCTTTAGCCATAAATCAGCTCTCACATTACACCAGAGAACACATACAGGGGAGAAACCCTATCAGTGTAACGCGTGTGAGAAAACATTTTACCAGAAATCTGATCTCACTAAACATCAGAGAACACACACAGGGCTGAAACCCTATGAATGTTATGAATGTGGAAAATCCTTCTGTATGAATTCGCACCTTATGGTACACCAGAGAACTCATACAGGTGAGAAACCTTTTGAATGTCTTGAGTGTGGGAAATCCTTTTGTCAAAAGTCACATCTTACACAGCATCAGAGAACTCACATAGGAGATAAACCTTATGAATGTAATGCATGTGGGAAAACTTTCTACCACAAGTCAGTGCTCACCAGGCATCAGATAATTCATACAGGGTTGAAACCTTATGAATGTTATGAATGTGGGAAAACCTTCTGCTTGAAGTCAGACCTAACAGTACATCAGAGAACGCACACAGGTGAGAAACCATTTGCATGTCCTGAATGTGGGAAATTCTTTAGCCATAAGTCAACCCTCTCTCAACATTATAGAACACACACAGGGGAGAAACCCTATGAATGTCATGAATGTGGAAAAATCTTTTACAATAAATCATACCTAACTAAACATAATAGAACACATACAGGGGAGAAACCCTATGAATGTAATGAATGTGGGAAAACCTTCTGCCAGAAGTCACAACTCACTCAGCATCAGAGAATTCACATAGGGGAGAAACCCTATGAATGTAATGAGTGTGGAAAAGCTTTCTGCCATAAGTCAGCTCTAATTGTACATCAGAGAACCCATACACAAGAAAAGCCCTATAAATGTAACGAATGTGGAAAATCTTTCTGTGTGAAGTCAGGACTTATTTTACATGAGAGAAAGCACACGGGGGAGAAACCTTATGAATGCAGTGAATGTGGGAAATCCTTCAGTCACAAATCATCACTCACAGTACATCACAGGGCTCACACAGGAGAGAAATCTTGTCAATGTAATGAATGTGGAAAAATCTTTTACCGTAAATCAGACCTTGCTAAACACCAGAGATCACATACAGGGGAAAAGCCCTATGAATGTAACACATGCAGGAAAACTTTCTCTCAAAAGTCAAATCTCATTGTACATCAGAGAACACACATAGGAGAAAAACCTTATGAATGAAATGGATATTAGAAATTTCCAGCCACAAGTGAGCCTCCGTAATGCCTCAGATTATTCACACTGTGGAGAAAGCCCTGTAGACATCCTGAATGTTCAGTAACTATCCACAAACTCGCCTTATGTTACTCCAAAGTAACAGTAGGGGATAAACCCAAGAGTACAACAATTATAGGACAGCTTTTGTTAGGAAGTGATATTCTGTTGAATATTAGATGATTAATACTGGCATAAAACCTCATAGATTTTTTTGAATTTGTGAAAGTTTTTGGCAAAAATACAAACAAGATTATGTTTGAGTTTGCATCGAGGAGAAAATTGTCAATTTAAGAAATCTGAAGTGAAAATTTTGCTTAGAAACACAATATGACAAATTCTGTTTTGAGTTTGATGCCATAATAGTTTTTAGGGCACCTAACAATAATTTATAGATGTATTTTGTGGAATGTAAAACTTTAAGAACTTAAAAAAAGTAATAATTAAAATAACCTCACAAGAAGTTGTAATGAGTACAGAGAATTCCCAAGTACACTTCACCAAACTTCCTGTAAGGATAATATACAATCATAGTATATGGTCAAGTCCAAGAAATCGATGTTACCTTGCTAGTAGATACAGACTTAACTCACATTTTACTATGGTTTGTGTGCACCGGGTGTGTTTATGTGTGTGTGATTATATGAAACTTTTACCACTTTTACATTTGAGTAACCATCAACACAATTGGTTTGCAGAACTGAAAAGGAATCTGAGATCTGTATTGTATCAGGATTACAAAGGAATCAGAATTTAGCCTCAAGTAGTTCCCTTGTTGTATTAATAACCACATCCTTTCTGCATCCTTATCCCTTGCACCCACTTGACTATGAAGCTTCTTTTAAAGCATAAATTGAATAATTAGAGCAATAGCATTAAACACATTTGTGAATTATCCCTGAAGTTCATAGGACTTACATATGTACAAGTGGTATGTGATATAAATTGTTTCATATGCATAGTGGAATTTAACCTAATTGTGAATAGAAAGTAGGTATCCTAATTTAGTAGTGGTTACATCATCAGGCCCATCCTAGATGTTTGTCATGTCTTGAAACAGTTTAAAAGGAGACCACAGAGCTAATGTTTATCCATTTTAAAAGTTATAAATCAAAATAACAAATTATCTAAAACAAAAAAAATCTATCCTGTACATGTGAAGATCTAGACCTGCCTCTGTGTTGCTCCCTTTCTCTTCCTACCTATGGCTCATCCCATGCCATGAAGTGCCTAGGGTACATATGTGAACACTCCCTTCAGCGTAAGTGATACTCCAAATTTTCTTTAAGCAGCTGCTCTCCAAGACAGGGCCCTGGAAAGAGGCCCACACATACAGCCCATTTGCTGCCTAGGGCTCTTGGACTGTCATTTCAAGGCTCATTGTGCCCAGACAGGGATCTCGGCCCTCAGAGACTTTTGCGAATATGAAGAGGAGGGTTGAGGCTGGAGCACAGCCAGAATCAAGCTGGTGTGGGGCTGTTATTGACAGTGTGAAGATTGTACATTATATTACATTATCAGATCATACAAATAATCTAAGATTATACAGTCTGGTGATCCTAGATTACACAAGTAATCTAAGTTCTACTTTAGGAAACTAGAAAAAGAAGAGCAAATTAAATCCAAAGTAACCTGGAAAAAAAGTAAAAATCAGTGACATTGAAAAGAGAAAATCAGTAAAACCCAAAACTGGTTCTTTGAAAAAGTCAGTAAAATTGATAAACCTCTAGCTAGATTAAGAAAAAACAGAAGACACATATTGCTAATACCAAAAAGGAAAGAGGCCATCACAGCTGATCCTATGGTCACCAAAAGAATTAGAAAGAAATATGGACAACTCTGTCCATAAATTTGATAACTTAGCTAAAATGGACCAATTCCTTGCAAGATGCATTCTCTCAAAGCTCGCACAAGGTAGACCTCAATAGGCATATATATCTATTAAATAAATCTAAGCAGTAATTAATAACCTTCCAAGACTGGGCACGGTGGCTCACACCTGTAATCCCAGCACTTTGGGAGGCCAAGGCGGGCAGATCACGAGGTCAGGAGTTCAAGACCAGCCTGGTCAACATGGTGGAACCCTGTCTCTACTAAAAATACAAAAAATTAGCCGGGCATGTTGGCACATGTGTGTAGTCCAGGCTACTCAGGAGGCTAAGGCAGAAGAATCGCTTGAACCTGGGAAGTGGAGGTTGTAGTGAGCCAAGATTGTGCCACTGTACTCCAGCCTGGGTGACAGAGTGAGACTCTATCTCAAAAATTATAATAATAATAATAATAATAAAACCTTCCAAAACAAAGTGCCAGGATCAAATGGCTTCACTGATGTGCATTTTTTGAGATGCTTAAGGTAGAAATGATACCAAGTCTCTACCATCTTTTTCAGAAAATAAAAGCAGAGATAGCACTTCCCAACTCATTTTGTGCACCCAGTATTACCCTAATACCAAAACCAGGCAAAGGTATTACAAGAACGGAAAACTAGAGATCAATATTTCCAGTGAACACAGGTGCAGAAATCCTCAAAATATTAGCAAATCAGGAATGCAAGGCTTGTTCAACATTTGATATTCAGTGCAGTCCATTGCATGCATTAGCAGCTCAAAGATGAAATATCATATCAATAGGTACAGGAAAAGCATTTTACAAAATCCAATATCCATTCATGATAAAACCTCCAAACACAGAAGGAATACAGGAGAATTTACTCAATTTGATAAAGAACTACTACAAAAAACCCTACAGCTAACATCATCCTTGATGTTTCCAACTAGATGCTTTCCTACTAACATCAGGAACATGGCAAGGAACACCACTGCTTTTCAGCATTGTACTGGAAGTGCTATCTAATGCAGTGATACAAAAAAAAAAAGGAAATAAAATGCACATAGATTTGGAAGGAGGAAATACAGCTGTCTTTGTTCACAAAAAACATGATTGTCTTTGTAGAGAATTCTAAATAAACAGCAAAACCCCTGCTGACATTAATAAGCAATTATAGTGGGGTTGCAGGATATAGTCCTCAGGTAGATGATAAGGAATTAGACATCAAGTCATTAAAAGACCTGGAGGAACCCTAAATGCTTATTAAGTGAAAACCAATCTGTAAAGGCTTTCTATTTTTTTTATTGCAATTATATGATATTCTGGGAGAGGCAAAACTATCAAGCCAGTGAAAGGACCATTGGTTGCTGAGAGTTGAGGGGAAGGGAGGGATGGCAGGTAGAGAGGTGATTTTTAGGGCAGTGAAAGTACTCTCTAGGGTAATGTAATTTGTCAAAATGCAGAGAATGGAAAACAGTGAAGGGAAAACAGTAAACCCTAATGTCAACTCTGGAGTTCAGTTAATAATATTGTATCACTATTGGCTCATTAATTGTAACAAATGAACCATAATGATGCAAGATGTTAATAATTGGGGAGCCTGTGGAGGATGGGAGGGGTGAAGGGTTATATGAGAATTCTCTGTACTTTTTGCTCAATTTTTCTGTAACCCTAAAGCTACTCTAAAAAATGAAGTGTATTAAGTAAATAAATAAGTAAATAACCAACCAACCCTGAGGAACATCTTGTTTCTGTACTAAGGTGTTCTTTTGTTAGTCGTGTGTTTCTGACTGAACCTGTAAATCACCATTAAAGAACATTTGAATTGCTTTTATACATCCTTAATATATTTTAAATTATGGTAACTGTGATCTGAAATTAAGGACTAGTATTCTTGGTTCTCTTGACATCTGAAACCAAAAGGGCCTCAAATGACCTAACCTCATTTCTATCCCCACTCTGCTTCCACAGGTGAGGTACCTTAGCAAATAGTCATCCCTGTCAAGGGGGCCAGGCACAGTTCCTGCTTATTCCTAAGTAGTAAGATCTGGTTCCCTGCCAGCTCTTGGAATTATTCACCAAACCCCTCACATCCTCCCACAGCAAACAGTGGTCACTGTACGCTCTGGATAATACAGCTGTTCACCACAACCCCTCCTTTTCCACTCTGCTCCCAAGTAGAACCCTGTGTGGCTCTGTCCGGCATGTGGTGTCCTTCTCATCTTTCTGAGAGTTGGTGTGACTGACAAACTGACTTAGATCTTATCTGTCCAGTGTCAGGTGTTCAGTGTTCAATCTTTCTATAGCATCAGAGTGGGGATCCTTCCTTAACCATCAGGGTGAAAAGGAAGCAGTTACAACCATTGGCATAAACAGGATGGCCCATCCAAAGCCAGTGTCATCTAGTCTAATTTTAACTAACTGCTCTTGGCTAACTGACAGGTTCCATATTATGGCAAAAGGCTTCTTGGACAGAACCACCAGCTGCTGGCAGGTTTGCACTTGTCCTGTGCTGTAATGCACTTTTCTTGGGGAAGGTGAGTGTCTCATCTCTTCCCATCCTAATATGCACTGTGTGCAGGACAAGAGTGCTCGCCCATTGACTGTATCCCTGCATAACTTAACTTGGGCTCAGCCTGTTTGGCAGGTGGTCTCTGAGGTTCCTACCTGTAAAAGTGGTGACCACACTGCACACAAAGTGATCAGCACTTTAGCACCACTTTCCAAAGGTCTGGCTGGAGCTCTCTGATTATCATCACTGGCTGCATGGAGCATCCCTACAGACTATTGTTTGTTATTGAACACCCCTGGGTTGTGCGTGCAGATGGCCTATTGTGAGGTTTGTGGAAAGGCAGGAGACAACTGAGGGAGGTGAGTGTGGCACTCCGGTTGCCTAATGAGGCATTCAGGAAGGGTAGTACCTGCACCCCTCTCCTGTGCTGTTCCTTCACTTGCTGCCACCGCACATGCTTTCCTGACCTCTAAGAGTGTCAAGATGCACATGCGTGGTGGCCCATGGTCCAGGTGCTGATGAGAAGAGAAAAAGGTACCAGTTCTCCCCAGATTACCAGAGGAAGTAGCTCTCCTGCTCTCCCAATGCAAAACCCCTCTCCAGTGTACCTGAGCATAGCCTGGCATTGCTGCTTGCCAATATGCCACAGGGTGAACCTTGCAATCATGGGGTCTGATGGCCTGCACCTGGGCCACAGACTATACGACGTTACCCTGAGCATAGGGAGAGTGACTGTGACATTCGCTGTGCTTTGAGAGTTTGTCCCCTCTCCAAAAGTCATGTTGAGGCCGGGTGCAGTGGCTCAACAAATCCCAGCACTTTGGAAGACCAAGCACAAATCCCAGCACTTTGGGAGGCCGGGACAGGAGGATCACTTGAGGTCAGGAGTTCCAGACCAGCCTGGTCAACATGGTGAAACCCCATCTCTACTAAAAATACAAAAATTAGCTGGACGTGGTGCATGCCTGTAATCCCAACTACTCAGGAGGCTGAGTCAGGAGAATCACTTGAACCCAGGAGGCAGAGATTGCAGTGGGTTAAGTTGGCACCACTGCACTCCAGCTTAGGCAAGAGAGCAAGACTCCGTCTCACAACAAAACAAAACAAAAAACAAGTCATGTTGAAACTGAATCCTCAGTGCAACAACTTGCAAAGGTTTGGCCTTTGGGAGGTGGTAAGGTCATCATGAGCGCTCCACCTCATGAATGATTAGTGATCTTAGGAGCAGGCTGGATAGAACACACTAGGTCTCTTTTTGCTGCCCCCTGTCCCCCCATTCTGACATGTGAGGGCCCAGTGTCACTCCCCTCAAGAAGAAACAGCAAGGAGGGTCTGCCTTGGAAGCCGAGACCTGGTCCTCACCGGATACTCACCTTTCTGGCGCTTTCATCTTGGACTTCCCTGCCTCCAGAGCTGTGAGAGGTAAATTTCTATTGTTTTAAATGACCTAGTCTCAGGTGGTTTGTTATGGTAGCACAAATGGACAAAGACAAAATGTCTCTTGGAAATTTGGCATTTGGCCATGCTAGAGTCTCATCTCTGCACATGAGGAATATGTTGGGACACTATTGAAAAAAATCAAACTCAACTCCTAACAGCATGGTCCCAATGCTGCCTAAGACATTTATCAGATTACATTCAGGGGAAACTGTGAGACTTTTATGAGTGTGTGTGTGTGCATGTAGCCTATGTGTATGTAAGGTGGGGCTGGGAGAGAGATTTATAATACCCCAGTTAATAGTTATCTAAATGATTGCTTGAGCCCAGGAGTTCAAGGCTGCAGTGAGCTACCGT